TACCCACTGATACCTTGTTCGCAGAAACTTCTTCAAATCTTTGTAAATTACATTCTATTAGATACCTCCAAATATTAACTATAAATGAGTATACCTGATGAAAGAAATGTCCAAAACTTAATAAAACAAAGTTTTATCGTCAAAATCTTAGTGCTATTATTAAGAGGAATGAACAAAGGAGTTCTTAATGTAAAAATTATTCTTTTTAATACTTTTTAGAACCTTCAAAATTTTGGTTAAATTTTTTTTTTTTTTTTTTTTTGTACGGGAAATTGAAGCTTCATTTTACGGTGAGAACCATACTGATTTGGAAATTCTTGCAAAAAATCAAATATTTATTGGGTTATAATGAAACTTTCACAAATGAATGAAATTATCATTGAAAGTTTATTTTTTAGAAAATACTGGTAATTTCTTCTTATTTTTTTACACCACACATATTTAATTTTATGAAATTTCTATATATTCTTGTAGCGCTTAATGTTCATATTAGATATAAGTACAAGTCCTATGTGAATGTATTATAAATTATCAATTTTTTTCAAACTGGACATCCCACACACAGACACACAGAGTTACAGAAAATCTGATCTGAATCGTAAAATAACACATGCAATAAAACTAAAACATTATTTAATTAGCAATGTTTTAATTGCTTTTTACAAGAATTTGAATTTTTACAAGAACTGTTTTCATTTCTTTTTAAATTTTAACTAGAATAATTTATAAACTTTAAAAATAAAATTCCGTATTAATCAGTAGCGGTCACGTGATATAGTCATTAAATATAAGCTATATTTACTAATCATAAATGGAAAAGGTTACTTAAATTCAGTGAACGCTGTATTTTAAAAAGAATTTTACGTCTTTTCTACCTGGTCTACCGCAGAAAGAAATGGCAACCTACTGCAAGAAAAAATCTGCCTCGTCAGTCATGTATCGAAAGATACATGATCGCCTAAGCGTGTAAATTTGTTGAACATCAGACTGTCGATAATTCTGTTAACACCTAAAGACGTCCAGTCCTTGTTAAAAAAGATGCTTTCTTGTGAGATTTTAAATTAAAAGTAATATTTGCTTCTAGTCATACTAATTAAACATTAAATCAGCTAATCTTTCTCATATAACGTTTCAGAAAAATATATTTTATTTTTGAGAGATATTTTAATATTCCAATCAATTTAAAATCGGTTTGGAATGCGGCAAATTATTTTGCTAATTGGAAATATTAAATTTCATGTATCATCTTGGAATTAAAATGAAAATAATAGCTTCAAGAAATATTTTTCATTTTTAAAATACCTTTGGTATCTCGATTTTTTGCCAGTACCTACATTCTACGAATATAAAAATTAACAATGGGAACATCTGGAAAACGGTATGGGTCTATTATTTGGAGGAGTGGGGGGACCATTGTTCAAAAATATATATACAAGAAAGATAATAAGGTATATACCAGATATGGGCAGCCTTTTTCGAGGAGTATGCCACGTGATTTATGGCTCATCACAAGGCGGGTCGCACTACTAAAAAGATTCCCGAAAACTACTGCCCTAACAGATTCCCTAGGGCAGGGATCGGCAACCTTTTGCTAACTATGTGCCGACTGCGTGCCACTGGAAATTGCTTGACGTGCCACTGTGGCACGCGTGCCGTAGGTTGCCGACCTTTAAATCACTACAATCTTAAACTGTTCTAGTTATCTCCCACTCCTTTTCATATAAACTACCCGTTATCGTAACCCTCTACCTCGAGTGGACCCCGGGCCAACTATGTGCCGACTGCATGCCACTGGAAATTGCTTGGCGTGCCACTGTGGCCCGCGTGCCGTAGGTTGCCGACGCCTAAATCACTACAATCTTAAACTGTTCTAGTTATCTCCCATTCCTATTCATATAAACTACTCGTTATCGTAACCCTCTACCTCGAGTGGACCCCGGGCCTTGTACAGTGTGAAACTTACTGTAAAAAGAAAATACCTCACTTCATGTCGCTGTGTGTGATTTATTTCTAATTTATTCATTTGAAAACGAAAAACATTTTATTATTAGAGAAAAAAATCTTATGACTGGTTCCTGTTTCAAAAACAAAAGATGTTTACACGTATGGTCTTCCTTAGTGAAAATCGCCAATAGTTTCAGATGCTAACGACATCACTTTCCCCAGAATTTTACAAAATTCAAGAAAAATTGCACTTAATCATTGTTTATATATTTGATTATGTATGAGAGAGTGTGTGAGTGAACAAGTGAGAATGAAATAAAATAAAATTTTAAGAAACGTTATTTTCCTTATGAAAAATTGCAATTTTTTAACGCCTACAAAACAAAACTATTATTTATTCGTTATACAGAACCTTTTGTGTCTTCCTGCAACATGCCTGGTGCTAATTTCCTGAAGAGCAATTCTTTGTGCTGTTGGTTTACCACCTCCTGATGGTAATCACAGGCGGCGAGATTTTTTAATTATCGCCCCCAGACGATAATTACAGGCGGCTCGAGATTTGAAAGACTCGATCTCTTTCTCGGTGTCTTTTCATAGCGGAAAGACGTATTCTTTTCGTTCCTGAACTTTTCATATTTTATTTCATTTCATTGCTCATCTTTCCTTTTCTAAAATGTCCTGACAATATATTTGTTCATCTTTGTTCAAATTCTATGTCTTATTATTTTCTTTTCGATTCATACGAGTCCATCAAAATTGTTAGCGGGTCAAATGTACTTATAAAATCTCATCAAAAGTGGTTATACACGCAACAGTGCCTGCTTGGGTTCACGTTTTCCACTGATATGAAATGAAGTGATTATATTGAATCAATTGTTAAGTATATTGCTAGGAAAGTTTGTTGACTATGTGATGACAGAAGATTTTTCTCATCAGAATCCACCTTGCATATTTATAAATCTACCATTCGCCTATCATTCATTGAATATTGGTGCTCCTGCTATATATCTTGAGATTCTCAAAAACATCAGAAGAAGAGTTTGTAATGTAATCGATCCTGCAGTATATGTCTATATCCCTGAGATGAGGTATTATGTGTACTATTTACATTATTCGGACTATTGTCATCATCTTTGTTGTCACATTTATCACAACGTTTCGGCCGATGTACGCTCCGGCCTTCTTCAGGTCGTTGGAATGTCGAACTGAACCCTTTATTTCGCTCATATTGCAATTTTTGCTGTTATCATTGCACTGATAAAAAAAAAATGGTTGCTGAAGACATTAAGTCCCAGAAATTAAAAAATGGTTACTGAAGATCACCGTCCTCTGTGGGATCAGGTTGAGATCATAGACAAAGAACACCACTGGAAAATTCGTAAATTTAAGGGATCAGCACATATGCTAGGCCACAAAAATCTCCTGAGCCGACCAAGCATAGAAATGAATACAATATGGGAACCAGTAATAAGGGGTGCCAGAGAAAAGCGATAATAACAACCAAAATTGTAATATGAGCTCTTGTAAAAAAAAAACAGTGGCTGAAGTCATACACAGATGTCCTCAAGGACACATGGCACAGTGGATAAAGGCGTTTGTTAGATCCATTCACAGGACCAAAAGAGTTTTGAATTCAATACCTGGTTAAGGCAGTGGAGAACTTGAAGAGGGGAATTAACAGAAGATAACTGATAACTGACATCCATTAGACATGGCACGTGGAACTAGAACTCTCTACCCAAGCGGGCGAAATAAAGGGTTCAGTTCGACATTCCAACCACCTGAAGAAGGCCGGAGCGTACATCGGCCGAAACGTTGTGATAATGTGGCAGCAAAGATGAGGACAATAGTCCGAATAATGTAAATAATTTAATCGATCCCGACTTGGCATCTCAGCTTCAGTAACCTTCCCGCCGCCGTAATGGTAGCTTCTGTCTGTCTTTTCTATAAATATTCTCCTGGCAATTATTCTGATGTGCTTTCCTCTTTGGCACCTGGACTGCATGAATTTAAGCGTACTACCAAATTGGCAACTGGATCTCGCCATTTTACTGTCGAACTAGCTAGATTTAACTGTATATTATGTTCAATATTTTCTTTTCTCGCACTTCTCGCCTGTAGAACCCACTTGTGGTTTATTCCCTGCTACATACTATCTCCAAAAATTTAAATGCAACATCAATCACCATCGTATGTATTCCTGAAACTGTTTTTTTATTGTCCTTTCTCCTCACTAAAGTCTTCTTGTTCTCTTTCACTCCCGGTGACCCTTTGCGTCTTAGTGGCATTATCTCCCTGTTTGGAGTGAAATGATTAAAATAAAAGTATGGTTGTCAGCAAAGGGAACAGCCCAAGATTCGAACTACCAACTAGACACACCAAAATCAATCTAGGAATATACCGAAATTCGACGGTGCATTAATATAGCAAACTATACCTCCCAAAGTCTAAGCAAAGTAATAGGAAAATTTTCGTTAGGAACATAGAACAGTATCGGATTGTTATATAATATTAATTCTCTTATATGGCAGTGAACGCTGGACAGTCTTCTCACAGATAAAGAAGAGACTTAAAGCAAAAGAAATATGGTTCTACAGAAGGATGGTGAGAATATATGTAGTAGACAGACCATGTTCGCAACGACGAAGTTTTAAGGAAAATATAACTTACACTTAGAATCAGAAAAAAAAATATAGCTGAAACTTCTAGAGCACTTAATAAGGAAAAGGGATTAGAAAATTTGACACTCACAAGATATATTGAAGGCTAGGGAGACATAGGGAAGCAACGAATAACCTATATAACGAGCTTGTGTAAATGATTGACAGAAAAGGGATTAGGAGAGATAGCAAAAGGACAGACATTGCAAAGTGCTACAAGGAGCAGGAAGTTGTGGAGAACCGTGATGGTCGACATATTGAAGTGACACAGCACATAGAAGAAGACGCTATATTATGCAATCGTAAATGCAGAAAAAAAAGGAATATAAATACAATAATGCTTGAAAAATAAGCAATGTAAAGATTCTCACCACAAAAATAAGTGAACATACAAATATGGCTGCCAAGACTCATGCGTGTTTGTGCATGAACGCTCTGACCTTCGGCAGATATTTGAGCAATTGTTTATATACTAAACAGCTTCTCAAAACACTGATACCTTATTTTTCCCTCTCCCTCTACTCTTTCTTTCTTCCTTTCTTTCAACCACTCTTTTTCATACTCTCGCCTTTTCTCCTTTTATTCACTTTTATTTTTTCTTAATAGCATTTCTCTTAATATTATCACAGTCTACCTGTCTTTTCTCCTTTCTCACTTCCTCTTCCTTTCTTAGTATTTTTCAGTGACTTTCCTCACTTTTATTTTTCATATTATTATCTTACTCTCTAATACTGCCCCTCTCTCTCTTTCTTTGTCGCTTTCTCTCTTTTTCTCAGTTTTAATTTTCTTCATATTATCATAATCTCTCTTTCTCTTTCTCTCTATCTCGTTTTCTCTTCTTTTCTCATTTATCATTCTTCTCTTTCCTCAATTTATTTTCGCAATGTTATCTTTCTTTCTTTCTTTCTTTCTTTGTCGCTCTTTCTCTCTAGCTTTTCTCCTTTTCCCGATTTTATTTTTCCTCATATTAGCATAACCTCTCTCTTTTCACCTTCTCTCGCATCTCGCTTTTTCTCCGTTTCGCAGATAATTTTTCAGTCTCATTTTTCTCTCCTTAGCGCTCTCTCTCTCTCTCCCCATCCCTACCTCCCTCTATCTATCTATCTATCTATCTATCTATCTATCTATCTATCTATCTATCTATCTATCTATCTATCTATCTTGGATTCTTTCTTTTTGTCAGTTTTAATATTCTTTCCTTTCCTAATTTATATTTTTCCTAATATTATCATATTTCACTCTCTTTCTTTCTTTCTTTCTTTCTTTCTTTCTTTTTTTTCTTTCTTTCTTTCTTTCTCCTATTTTCTCATCATCTAGTATTCATATTCTCTTTATTGTTATCTTAACCTTTCCCTCCCTTAATTTCTCCTCCAATAACCCCTCTCACTCTTTTAATATCTATCTATCTATCTATCTATCTATCTATCTATCTATCTATCTATCTATCTATCTATCTATCTATCTTGGATTCTTTTCTTTTTTTTTTTCTTTTTCAGAAGTTTCATATTTTTCTCAGTTTTATTATTTTTTTTTCTTTTCCTAAGTCATATTTTTCCTATTATTTCGCCATCTTTCTTTCTTTCCATTCAGCATTCATATTTTCCTTAATATTATCTTAACCTTTCCCTCCCTTAATTTCTCCTCCCATAACCCCTCTCACTCTTTTAATATCTATCTATCTATCTATCTATCTATCTATCTATCTATCTATCTATCTATCTTGGATTCTTTCTTTTTCTCAGTTTTATTATTTTTTCTTTTCAGAAGTCATATTTTTCCTATTATTTCGCCATCTTTCTTTCTTTCCATTCAGCATTCATATTTTCCTTAATATTATCTTAACCTTTCCCTCCCTTAATTTCTCCTCCCATAACCCCTCTCACTCTTTTAATATCTATCTATCTATCTATCTATCTATCTATCTTGGATTCTTTCTTTTTCTCAGTTTTATTATTTTTTCTTTTCCGAAGTCATATTTTTCCTATTATTTCGCCATCTTTCTTTCTTTCCATTCAGCATTCATATTTTCCTTAATATTATCTTAACCTTTCCCTCTCTTAATTTCGCCTCCATCGCTCTCTCTCTCTCTCTCTCTCTCTCTCTTCCCTCTTTCTCTCTCTATCTCCTCTCTATCTCCCTTGCCTTCCCTCCATTTCTCACTTACATTTTTCTCTCATTCTTTCCTATTGTCTTTCTCTTGACATCTCACTTATCCCTTATATTTTTCTCCCTCTTCTGTTTTTCTTTATCCTCTGCTTTTATGTATGTGCATCAGAGTATGTGTGTGTGTTTATTTGTGTGTGTGTATGAAAAAATACTAGCGATTTTTAGTTTACGGTCGTATATTTTCTGCGTTAAGTAAGCAAATTGATTTTAGAAATAAGAATTTTAATACACAGAATCTTTTATAAAATCCACCAGAGAACGAAATGCGTCGACCAAGATAAGTTTTCCTTTTGTCTTTAGTCATGTTGTCTTTTTTACAGATATAATTTTAGTCATATCTCAATTTTTACATTTCGTTGAACAAGACTAACAAGGTACATTTGTTTAGTGTTATATTATCTAGTATACGCCTGCTGTCAAAGATAATGCCAATTGTTAGAAAGTTTTCATAGTGAGATGCAATAAAACAAAAGACTTGAAAAATGTAATGAGATTGAATAAAGCAGGGATAAATAATAAACAGCTAAATTAGAGGCAAGTGAACCTTTGAATTAATCCGTTCCTTTTATATTTTTAGACGTTCAATGTTATCTATGATTCATTGATTACTCCTGGTATTATATAAATAGCTTTTTTTCTCGATGTTTTTTTCATGTTATGTGTTTAATATAACATGGAGATGGCAATATCTCTCGGAACCAAAAGATTAGCAAGAAAATGAATGACAAAGACGACCACAACAAAGCCTATTTCAAGACCAAGTTGAAGCTAGACAATCGACTAATAAACAAAGTAACTGAGTGCCTCACATGAAAGGCTTGAACAGATAAGACTGCAATCTAAGAAACGTAGGAGTAAAGGAACTGATCAATTAAACGATTCATTTTGCTCGAGTACTAGGTTTGTCTAATAATGCAGATGAATATTTTATTTGAATAGATTATTAAAACGACTAAGGGAAGTAATCACTCATAAATTTACTAATTTCTTGATTTACCCCCCTTCCCACTATAGATGGGCCAGGAAATATATAAATAAATACACATTGATAATTATTATATGGTTTGATTTTTATTGTTTGCGTATAAGTATTCACTTTTCTGGATTTAATAAGTGTAGAAATTGCCCACTAGTTTATTGATTCCGAGCGCTATCAGCTTAACTATGCCATTTGCAAGGATTTTTTATACTACTATAATAAATGGTGTGTAACTGCTATGGTAGACAGTATAAAAATTGTTGAAATTACACATATTCTTAATTTCCGAATACCGTCAAAACATTGTAGCCGTGCTCATAATTGAATTTATTAGAAGTTGATTTTTCTATTTTTTTATAATAAAATGTTATTATATCAAAAATACAGACACTTTGAAAAACTGTATAAATACATCATTTGTATTACTTCAAACGCTATTTTTTCGTGGATACTCGTATTTAAGTAGATGCTCCGTTTATTTTAAACAATATTTATTCGTCTACCGGCCTGCGTACGCGAGACAACTTAATAAAGGAAGTGTACCATCTGTACTTTTTCAAGCTTACAGCACTTGATATTCTCAATTGATCACTCATCTAGGTGCTGACCAGGTTCAATATTGCTTAACTTCGATGATAGACGAGACAAGAAGCAGTGTGTGTGTGCGTGTGCGCGAGAGAGAGAGGGGGGGGACAAAGAGAGAGAGAGTGGGGGTAACAGAGAGAGACAGAGAGTGGGCTATTGTGTCCGAATAACATACTTGCTCGGCAGCGGATGGTTCTCAGAGAACAGAACAAAGGAAGGATTTTGGGAATCGCGCGCATTTTATATTGATGCCATGTCTCCCTTGTTAAGAATTCCCGCTTTCTCAACATTTATCTGTCTATGTTCTTGTTTATTTTATTTATTTCATTGTTGTTTCAATGGGAATCCTACTTCCACTCACTCACTCACTCACTCTCTTCCTTCCACTCTCTCTCTCTCCTCTCTCTCTCTCTCTCTATATATATATATATATATATATATATATATATATATATGTATTAATCAATTCGCCCCAAGCATGACGATAATGCCACAAAGACGCAAGGTGGCTACTGGGAGTGATAGAAAAAAAAAAGACTTTAGAATGAACTGATAACAAAAATCCTAAATATGAAGCAAGGGATAAACCACTACACACATTCAAAAAGACTTGGAAGTAGTGCGAACCGGGCGATACGATATATATATATATATATTTGTGTGTCTGATTTTGTATATATATGTAAATCTGTCCTTTATATCATCCAATATATATATATATATATATATATATATATATATATATATATATATACAGGGTGAGATGGGTAAATTGTTATCATTTTATATTTTTAGTTCACCTATACGCGTTGTTTGTTTTTGATCTTACCTACAGCACAGTATGGTAGGGGCAGTTGAGCTCCGTCTGTGAGAAAAAGAACACTATAAGGCATTTGACACTGTCAGAAATTTGAAAACGGCATGCTGTACTGCTTAGCATTCACACTGGAAGTTCCAATACGAAAATTTAAGAGTGTTTCAAACAGTTGACAGTTCCAAGGATTCGGAAAGAGTTGGATGAGTCTTGAAGAGGTAATGCTGCTCTAGGTCAAGGGGGTGGCTGGTGTCTGGCAACAGGAGTCTGCAACATGCCACACAAGCAGGAGTACCCAGTCATGTCTATCAGACAATTTCTGCGACCACATCACCCCTTACATCTGGCGACCTAACTCCCCAGACTTGCAACCCCCCTTGATTATTATGTGTGGAGCAGTTGAGCGAGAGATCAACAAAACTCCTTGTAAGACCAAAGATGAACTGAAGGCAAGGATTATGGAAGCATTCAACAATATAAACAAGGAGACCGCCCAGAAGAGATGCAGGAGATTCCGAAGTCGTCTGGAGGCCGTGTTTAAAGCCGATGGCAATTTTATTGAATAAATTTACTCTATAGTATTTCAAGATATTTTTATGTAATTTTAGTAAACATATCTGTTAAATTTAGATATGTGTTATTTTCATTTTTGCATAATTTAGATCACAATTTATTCATCGCACCCATACACACGCACACACACACACACACACACACACACACACACACACATATATATATATATATATATATATATATATATATATATATATATATATATATAGCAGCATGGCCTGGCATTGCCTGTGCTTGATTCAAAAATCGTATGACTCATACAGAAATCGCTATCACTTGACTTAAAAATATTTTTGCCCTTCCTTGCCTTTTTAAAGGAGTGCCCTTTTCCGTGCTGATGTTGCTACATGCCTTACTTGCCTATCTCACACTGCGAATTTTTTTTTTTCAAGCTCTATACTAAACATTAAATCTGTTACGAAAAAAAGAACTAAACAAAATGAACACAAAACGATCAGCTTTAAAAAAGGACTGTAATTGGAAACACTGAATGAAAAAAGAATGTTAACAACAAATACTTTTTCACACCCAATCCAGTTCTGCAGAATCAAAATCAACATTGAGTTTAAGCAAGCGACTGAGCCAATTGGAGTAAAGTGCCATGCAGATTTAAATTTTTCCCACTTGTGACGAATGCAGCTATCGATTTTTTATCGAGTTAACATTCGTGTCAGTCAGCTGTTGGCTCTCACGCTGGCCAATAGAATCTTCCTGCCTATACGTGACAGCCAGCTATAGGCTCTCACTCTGGCCAGTAGAAAATGGCCGCAAACTACATGAAAACTGCCGTAGAAGCATGAAAAAATCGATTATTTCCACTATCGATGGCAGTTGGGAAATGCAAAGTCGGTCTTGACCTTCCCGCTAACTTAAGCATGTGCATGTAAATTTTGGTGCAAATCCGTCGAAAATTGCGGCCCGTGCATTCGTTATACACACACACAGACATCCTGCCTTATATATATATATATATATATATATATATATATATATATATATATATATATATATATATATATTCAGCTGTATAGCTATATATATATATATATATATATATATATATATATATATATATATATATTTGTATGGATATGAGTTTAGACTTGGGTTTCACGCTTTTATGATCATCAGACAAAATTAAGTCTTCAGAGTTTTTCTGATCATCGCAAAAGCGTGAAACCCAGGGTCACAAATTCATATGAATATGTTAGCTCTACCACTGATATTCAGCACTTTCCAATAAGTACTGAGCATATAAAATAATATATATATATATATATATATAATATTTTTGTGCGTGCGTTGTATATACATGTAAATCTGTCATTTATATCATCCAATATTTGGTATGGAAGACCAGAACCAAATCATATCGTTTCATAAAAAAAAAATCCCCAATTTAATTAGATGCCATTTAAATAAATATAGATGCCGCAAATTTTATTTGCTCAAAGCCTCTTGTACTGGTTATTGATGTAAATAGACTCTCTCTCTCTCTCTCTGTGTGTGTGTGTGTGTGTGTGTGTGTGTGTGTGTGTGTGTGTGTGTGTGTGTGTGTGTTGGGGCATTCAGAAGTTCCTTGATTGACCCACTTCCCAAAATCAATATTTCAAAGAACAATTTCTTTGTTGGGTGAAGTGTTAAAAACAATTAAGAAATTCGGTGCCTCTCAAGTGTATTGAATTGCAAGGTGAATATACGGAATACGCAT